TTCAGAGTCTATCAAGACACCAACTACTTTTTTTTGACTTGTGGTTCTTTTTGGTCACTTTAATTAGAGATTAATTTCACCCACTTTGTATAGTATCAGTGCTGAAGTCTGCTATCATTACCCTAGACTTAAACTACTGTAAAACCTTCCAAGAGTAAATATCATCAAAGTTCATGTTTTATTTTCAAGCTTTTAATGTAAAATCCTCCTTTCATGTCTCTTTCAAGTCTGCTTGAATGAGCTGTGTATTACCAGTTGCTTTCCCATCTGTCTCAATTTAGTGTCTTTGACAAATTTCAATCTGTCCTGAGGAAAAATCAGAGTACTGAAACCACTCCACATTAGATTACTGGATATATTTTATTAACAGCGTCTCTTTATCGAAACAAAAAATCCTGACACTCCTTAACTCTCCTGCCAGAAAAGTCAGCGGAACCCTATGACTTAGACTCACACATTCTGAATGGCTTCACACGCTTCACTTTCCATTCCCTCCCATCTTTTGAATTTTCACCAGGTACAAAAGTGAGGGTTTTCCTCTTTAAATTTTAACCTTTCATAATCTTGCAGGACATTACCTACACAGTCTGTATAGCATATGAACTCCACATGAGTCCTTTCACTTTCAAACTGCCTAACCCTTACCCACCCCGAAAGTGCACTGAGAATTTAATGGTTATGATAGACATGCTGATTTTGTTCCTTAGCCTGTCCCAATGGATTTTACTGTGTTAATTATCCTAACTTTAAAATCTCATAAAACCAAATCTGGAAAGGAAAAACCACCACAAATGTAGCCTGCATTCTGCCACAAGTCTTTTGTCAGGATATTGCAGATTTTAGGCCTATGGTTTAATCTCTTATATTTTTCAAATTCCTGCATGGAATACATTACAAAAGTGGTGAGCCCAGTCATACTTAGAGTTTCACAGGTCATTTGTTGGGTTGTTTTCTTCCTTTATTTTTCATGTGTGGTTGCCCATCTTCCCCCTCCAAACTTTTCTATCCCCCTCACCCTATCTCTCCACAATCATTCTTGCAGGACCCTCACCCTATCTCTCCACAATCCTTCTTGCAGGAAATTTAATTACAGAACTACCTATTCTCAAGTAAACAGAAGTCCACACTATGAAATAATAAAGATCTCTGTTTAAAAGTAATTGTTGGCTATGACTGACAACCCTTAAGGGAAAAGAAGAGAAAACATAAGCTGCTGCCCAGAATTTCTTGTTTTACTAGAAATTAGTTTGAGGCTAAGACTTTTGAGTAGTATCCTAAATCTACCATCTATCCATTCCAAGTTAGTGGGGGGAAAATACGCCTTTTTCTACATATCAGTTAATTCATCAGAAGTACAATCCTAACAGGTCCTGACCATGCAGAAACCCTACTGTGCTGGTTGCTCAGCAAATCATAGCACCAAGTGCTCCAATACCCCTGCAGCACCTGCTGCTGGAATTACTGTTAGGCAAGAATTTGTATTGTACTTTTCTTAAACTGGGCTTGTCATCCTGCCTGGGAACTGTTCTCTTCCACAAGCACCCCAAATGTCACTTGTTTAAAATCAAACAAACAAACAAACCAACAAACAAAACCCACCAAAACCAAATGCATATCATGAGCATATCAGTTTCTACCTGCATGCAGGGAAGTAATTCATTAAGGATGTGTTAGCACTAGTATGTCACATATATATTTTTAAAAGGTGAAATGACCATTTTTGGACTTCATTCTCCACGCACAGCCAGTGGATGGCTTCATGCTATTACTGGGCAACAGAATGCTGGCAGAACCCACGCTTGTGGCAGGGTGTCTTGGCATCGCTTGGTATTATGGCTGTAATGACATGATCATCATTCTCAGTAGTAACCCAAAAGTCACAGAATTTAAATAATTTTTGAAATTTCTATATATGAAATATTTAGAAAGTTAAGGACAAATTATTATTTTTTTTATTTCAACTACTAATCAATAAATGTAAAAAATACCAACAACAAAACAAAAATAACCCCCTTCATCCCCCCACATTAAAGCAATAGTTTTTGTAACATTTGAAACAGTGGAAACTATTTACCACATATTACTGTTAGTGGAGAAAAGCAAATTTAATTTAAAATCATGTTTTTCAAACTCCCTTAGTGGATGCCAGATAACTCCCCCTTAAACAAATATAAACTCCCCTCATTTTAAATGGAGAATAATACAGACAGAGCTCAATTATTGAGATATTAAGGGCAACATTCAATTTGAGGTACATTTAAGCATCTGTGCCTCCTGGAGATTTTTACATGACAAGGCTTTAGATAAACATGGTTTTGCAAACAGCAACTATCATATCTGATCACATAACCTCTGTACTGAAGCAGTATGTCAGCAAATATTTCTGATTATTTAAAATATTAAATAACTGTAATTTACTAGGCAGGTCTTCCTCAGAACAATCACAAATTTTTCAAGAATTAATACCCATATACAAAAAGCATTTAGATGATCTGTTACGAATCTCTGAATAATAATTAAAAAAAAATAAAATCACCTCTCTCTGTGACAAAGCCCAGTTTAAATACATTCTGGGACATACTAGTAGTGGAGGAGCTGCCTTTCTACAACACTCAGCTTGCAGGGGAAACTGTAGCTGTCAAGGACATACAGGGTAGGAAGCACCTCACCTAACTTTAACTATCTAGACATTAGACGCCTAATTTAAGCTAATCATCTGGGTTCCCTCTACAGGTAATGCAGAAAAGCATTCGCAGAGGAAGATTCATCCTGCTTGTCTTAGGCATCGCTCTTTTAGATGCTTGTAGATGGATAAATTCAAGAAAGATCAGCCTCACTGACAGCCTGACAATCTGCCTTTAGCGATGCACAATTTCCAAATTCAATAAAATTAAGCCAGAACTGAGATAATGTCTTTATTTTGTCATTTAGCCTTTAATTCTCCCTCTGACCCAGCTTTTTCTTCAATTCCTTCCATGAACATCAACTTTCTTTCCACTTTAATTTTTCTTACACTGGACTATGTTTTCCTGGAACCTGGGGAACTGCAACTAACATCAATATGTTGCTGCTTTACTAGTTACAAATCCATTTACATGCATGTGCTCTAAATTGAAGTAATGTTTTGAGCAGATAGATATGATAGGAGTATCGACAGCTATTGTGCTTTCTGGGTCTACCCTATACCTTTCAAATGTATAAAAATCTGTGGCAACATTAAGGCAGTCAAGGTATATAGATGAATGATAAAATATATTTACTATTCAAAGAAGATGGCTTAAATCAAATAACAAAAAACAAGGAAGAAATACCATTAGGGACCTTACTTTCACATGTGTGAGCTCAGGTCACCCACCACACATGCTCTGAGGCCTCTGTGCTTCAGAATATTGAAAAACTCCTAAAGGTGAAGCGTGGCCTTAAGTCTCTTGCATTTAGGGTTTGTGGGTTCTCAGCAATACCAGCATTGCTGCATCGCACCTTTAATCACCAAGCCCTTAGAAACAATAGCCAAGATTTATAAGGAAGAAAGAAGGTGTCTGAACTTAGACTCCTAAATTCATAGCTGGGTGCCTAAAGCAGCAGCACAACTGACAAGCACCCTGTGCAGCTACGCACAGATGCTCACCCCAGTAGTGAGGCACTTAGCATTTGTTATAACACAAAATGGGTGTTTATTAATTAAGAGCGTTCCAACGGCTACTTGAGTGCCTTGGCCGAGTCCTTGTGTGCACTAATTTCGATTATTGGGCATGCAGTCTACTCTGTGTCTTACTCCTACAGCATTTGTAGAAAAATTAATTTTAATAGTTAAAAAACCATTTTGAGCTGCATACAAGAAAATAATTCCATTTCTACTGAATGACAATCTAATATGAAATAAGAATATTCACCTTTTTTCTTACTCTGCCCAAATCCAGGCAATAAATTAGGCTTCTCAGCATGACTGTAAAGTGCTGTGAATTGTATAAACAATCATATATGGACACTGAAAAATAACCCTTATGCACATTGCATTATAGTTCCAAAAATATATTTACAGTCTATTACAAAGATTACAAATGGAAGTGTCTATGTAACGGGATTATGTTATTTAAAAGCTTTTTACAGATTTTCTTCAACAAAAGCAGGGGGGACAAAAACTTAGTATAACCAAACTGATTTTTCTAATGAAACAAATAAATAAAATGACAAATATAACACTGTACAGTGATCTAAAAAGAGGGAGAAAAAAGGAGGGTGAAAATGATGCATTTAAGTTTTTGAGAACTATCTTTGGTCCTAAATGTGGGAAAACACATTATGTAGCACTGAATATACATGTTTGTCTGTGATGCTCTGCAAGTAAAATAGAAAAATATAGTGCATTTTCAATGTTTTCAGAGCTCACTACACATAAATATGTGTACAAAACAAGACAGTATAAATAAAATTTACAAGTTTTACAAAGGAACATTTACAGGGTTTTTCTTTTGTTTTTATTTTTTTTGTGTGGATGCCCACATTATCAAACAAGACCAATTTATGACTGATCCCTGGGATCTTTCTCTATCAAAATCAATAGAAGCAGCCCAATTCTCTTTGGAAGTACAGCATTTCATTGCTGGGGTAGTTCACAATTTTCAGATTTTTTTTAAAGCATTTCTCTCTGATTCATATATATTCCTGCAGTATCTGTAGAGACACTGTTCATTATTGCTTATAGTAGTTAAATATTTTAATTAAACAAAACTTATCTATAAATGGTGTAAAAAGATATTCCATTGAGCAACTACTCTTGCATCTGTGTTCCTGATGAATGACTGGCTGTTGTGTCTGTGTGAGCACACACGCGCATGTTTGTTCAGAGCAGCAAAAGCTTGTAAACAAATTGAAAATTTTGAACTGCCCCTTGCCTCATGCTCTACAGTTCTCATATAAAATCTATGTCCTCATTCTGACAGCTGGACTGCATACAGCTAAAACATATAAAATATATACCAGCTATTTCTCTCAGATTTGCTAATGCAGAGTACTGAAAAAAAAAAAAAGTGATGTGCTCAGATTAAACAGTTTAGGTAACACTGGAGAACTGCACCTGTGTTCTGAGACACTCCTACAATCACTTGTCCATTCAATGCAGTATCTCATCAGGTTTACATTTGTAGATCTACATCTTAGAATATACCTCACTTTAACTCTCCTCCATTAAAATCATCTTGCAAACAATTTGCTAAAAGTGCCTAGAACTACTTAGGGGTCATTATTGCTTTTCTTTTTTCTTTTTTTTTTTTTTCTCTTTTATTTTCTTTTAAAAGATAGTATATGTGTAACCTTAAAAAATTCTTTAAAAAATATCAGCGCTCTTGGCAACTTGCATTTTCCTGACTCCCTGCCAATTAGCTAGCCATGTCAATACGGTGCTGATCTAACAAAAGTAAATGGCACAAAAGGATACCAAAGTTCGGACAGTTATACATTGCTTGGTCATGCTTCTTAAATCTCTAGGAACTCAAATAATCCTTCAGAGGTACCCAGTGTAGTAATGTGTCATAGAATTAGCACTAAAAAGGTCCAAAGATATAAACATCATACTAAAAGAAAGTCTTTATGAAGAATAAACACAAATGATTAAAAAAAGATTCAGAAATCACAGATTTAAGGAAAATATCTTGTTGAATTCAACAATCATATCATGATTTTATCTGACAAATATATTCTTTTTTAAATTTTTATGTACATTTAAAAAGTCTATTAGATAAAAAGGAGGTTAGAGAGCTCATGGTGTTTGTATGTTTCAGGTAGTACTTTGTTTATTGTCACTGCTGTTTTCCTTGCCACCACTGGTGGATCCTAATTCCCTTTTCATAAATTCTGGTGGCACTTAGGAGTTCAAGTCTGTAGGTGCTTCTTGTAGCTCTTCTATTCACTGCAGGAAGGACCCAGGAAATCAAGTGTCTTCTAGCAGCACTTCATATATACTGAAGGCCAGTGCTGTTCTCTCAGTCTGTCACCTCCCTCATAAGGGAGAAATGTCTATCACACTTGGATGCCAGTGCCGTGTAAATGTAGCATTTGTGCTCTCATAGTCTGAATGCTGCTCATGATTTTCTTTTGATGACCAACCAACGTGATCCCTAAACTCATCACATCCCTGGGGAAGATAAATGCGTACATTGTTAATTTTTCAACTTAGACTGCTATTGTATGGTATTCAACTGTGAGTCAAAGCTATGTAGTGGTCTGTGCTACAGGTTTCTAACATTGAGGCTACACTGGAACCTCAGCTCAGTACTGTGAAGTTCATATAGGCGCTGTTCAACTTCTCAGCAAGGAGTGCAATTACATGGCAACTGCCATGTAGTTACACTGCATGTATCTCCACATCTAAGAATGAGGCCAGTATGTTTTGCACTACGATAATCTTTCATCGTGGCTTTTAGGGACACCCAAAGAAAGAGACACTCCTCTTGTAAAATACTTCAGGTGGCTTTCAGGACAAAGTTATGTTTAAATACAAGATTTTGGGGATTACATTCTGATTCCTAAAGAGATGCCAGGAGAAACCCTTTGCATATTGACCCATACCCATCATGCAAATGAAGGAGCAGCTGTTTCAATTCCACTGCTACTAGTGCTACTTGACCTAGTAGAAGCTTGTGGGCTATAGTGACAATTCCCGAGCTATAGGCTGAGACCCCTAGGCAAACGAGAGTAGGGTTGCAAACTTCAGATTATTGTTTAGAAACTTGTATAGAAAACCGCTGCTCTCTGGAAGAGGAATTATATGTGTTTGGCAACCACCAGGATAAGAATGTTGTTTGCAGGGTGCCAAGAAGACCTGTTTAAGATGGCAGTACCAATACAGGCCATGCTTGCCTTCAGAAAATTGTTTTGCTTCTATAGACATATCCTGATGCAAAGTCATTTCTTGCAGGACACAGACAGCCCCCAGCCAATTAGAAGAAAATTCCACATCTTCCTAGTACAAGTCTGGAAAAAAGTACCAATTAGGTAGTGGAGGCAAAGTGGTTATTTTCCTGTACATACATATGTTGAAATTGGTCATGTCCTCCCTCAAATTCTAGGCGCTTGCTGTTATTTCAATTGGTCTCAAAAGCAGGGGAAAAAGCGATGCCATCACGGGATGCTCTAATATAACATCATCAGCTGTTAAACTGGCTGGCTTAACCCCAAGTACCATGTTTGCACTCAGGGTAAAGTATTGGAGTTGAACATTGTGTATTATTTTACCTAGAAATTCCCTAAATGCAAGTTAAACATGCCCAGTACTAACTTACTCAATAGTCATCCTGGCAACTGATTCAAGAGAGTTGTAGCCTGCTGCTGTGAAATTATCCTTATATCTTTCCATCTTAATAGCTTGTAACCATTCGCCTACGGAGCAGAAAGTGGTAAAATCGGGAGTGTTCTGGTCCAGAAGAGGGCTAATTGGTCTATGGAGAAGGAAAAAGGAAAGTAAGTTGTTTCCAAAGAGTGTAAAACATCAGGGAGTATTTAGCAAGGTGAGAGTCAAATAAATTTGGGGTATTAAAAATGTCAAGAGTAGAATGCAATAGGCCTTTATACACAGTTCAGATTATTCTCTGAATAGTTCTTTACTACTCTGTAGTTGACAATATGTACTTCCTAAGCTTATTCATGTAAAAGATGAAAGGTCAGAGTAAGCCAAATCAGCCTAATGGATTATTGTCACCAACAGAAAATCAACCTTATTACCTAGCATGACAACAGCTGCAACTACAATTGCTGAGTAAAATAAAGATGCTATTCTTTTAAGCATCTTAGTAAATATAGCCGTAACTATTCCCATTATTCAGTTGGATGGGACAAAACAAAGACAAGGAAAGAACAGAGACACAAAGTTGCTTAAAGTCACACAAGCATATCAGTTAATAGAAGAACCAGAAACAGAACACAGGCCAGTTGGTTCCCTAGTGCAGTGACCTAGCTAGCAGAACAAAAGATTACCATGATTAAATAATTCCTGAAATTTATGAAGAAGCCATTAAAAACTACACCATGAAATACAATGAGATGTAATCACTGAAAGGAGTAAAATCCAGAAAATGAAATCTAGAGTGCAGCATGTCAAAGCACACTGACAGAGTATGAGTATTATAAATTACTATTTCTACTGTAGCAGTTCCTAGGGCAAGTGATGCATCACATAAAACTACAGTAGATGATGATCCTTGCCCTTCAGACTTCACAATTTTAAGAAACAAGAAAGACAAAAACTGCTAGTGGTGAGAGTGTGGAAAGAGAAAGATGAGCAGGCAGTTGTTGGCTGAGAAATGTGTTAGTTCCATGTTATTTATTAATTTTGGTTACTTTTTAAGAAATTCCTTTTTCATCATGGTAAAAAAGAAGGGCAAATGAGGGAAGGGAAGAACAGGGAATAGAAGGAAGAAGGAACTAAGAGACACATGGAGTAAGAGTGAACTGGAACCAGCGATCAAGAAGAACATTCAGGCACGTTCATCATCATAAGAACATGCTAGAGATTTTCTTACCTGCTACAGGTTCCCAGTGGGGTTTTCAAGCTGTTGGGATTTCTAATCATTTTGTCCAGAATACCAACTATCTGCTCAAACTTCGGCCTTTCACCGCGTTCCTTTTGCCAACAATCCAGCATCAGCTGGTGCAGTCCTGCTGGGCAGTCCATGGGTGCTGGCAAACGATAGCCTTCTTCGATTGCTTTTATAACCTATTAGCCAACATAGTTAATCATTGTTCATCAAGGGATGTTTAAAAAAGGTATATTGCTACCCAGTTCAAGAAATAAAAGGGGAAAATAAAAAATCAGTAAATTAAAATTTGCCATCACAGTTGCAGAAATATGAGTCTGTTGTTTTGACACTAGCCTTCATGTTTTCAAATAGTTTCCCTGACTTTGTTTGGGCTTATTAAGCATATTGTTCTATATGTGCAGAACATAGCTATATTATCTAGTCAAGTGAGCAGCAGGGTACAACAATTAAATTCACCTAGGGAGCAACAGATAGATTGATAAATGGAGTTATTTCAGAAAGCATTATTACTTGCCCCAAGGCTTTTGTGAAAGAAACTGACTTGTAAATGGACAGGGATCTTGCATGCACATATAATATACAAAAAGCCTGAAGATATTATAAAAGGACCAAGAAAAATGTTTATCAGACTGAAACTGTTAGGGGAAAAAAGTTGTATTCTATGTCTAGCCATGTTATATTAATGATAAAGTAGCAGAAATGTGCCATGTGAGAGAGGAAGACCTGGCTGAATGGTATTTTAATATATCACCTAAACAGAACGTTAGATTTAATAAGAGATGCTGCTAGGTGATGATATCATTGAAGGAGAGCATAAAATGTCTGGACCAAGAATTACACCCACCCATTGACTTCCTTAGCCAACTCCATTTGGATTTGAACAAAAAATAAAAAATGGGTAAAGTAAAATCACAGGAAGCTGCTGCAAACCTTGAGGCCAGGATAAGAAACCATATCAGGAAGCAAGGCAGATAGTAAAGGCTTGTGAAAAAGGACTAAAACACTATTCATGGGGGATTTCAAGTATACTGACATTGACTGACATGGCACTATTATAATTGCTAAGAAAGAGTGCTTGTTCCTGAAGGGCAGAGGATAGGACTGTGTTCTCCCTCAGTTTGTACAGAAAGCAAGGTCAGAAACTGTTCTGGATGTAGCCCTAGGAAGCAGAACTGGTATGATATATAAAGTTGGTGAATATCCAGGATTTAGTGAAAATAATATCCTCAGATAGAAAATATTCCATAGGTTGTGTGAGAAGATGCAAAAGCAGTAGACTGCAAGGGAGACAGAACTGCAAAGAATACAAAATTACCTTCAAAAACCTGGCTGAAATCCATGATTGTATCAAAACCTTTTGCAGAAAAGAAGTCCTTTAAAAAGAGGAGGTATGGCCCAGTGGTAGGGCACTTACTTCAGGTTTGTGTAACAAAACGCCTTCTGACCTCAGGGAAATTGCATCATCTCTCTGGGCCTCAGCTTCCTATCTGAACATTTAGAATGACAGTACTGTCTGACAACTCAAAATGACTGAGAAATATTCAATTCCTGCAGTAACATCCACACCTTGAAGAATGAGTGTGGTGACCTTTTAGAGACAGTGGTGTTGTCTCTCATGGTAGTAAGACAGGATTTCTGCATAAGAACAGGGAAAATGGAACAACTCCTTACAGTAAAGGAGCAGAGTAAAGGTGAAAAATAAGCTACAGTGTGTTTAGGACAACTGGTGTGTTATGAAAAGTAATGCAGAAATTTCTGACCTTCTAAAAGGTAAAAGGTATTAAACTCTTTATACATACTACATATGATCTACCACAAAAGAAGCAGTCACGTAAGAGTCAGAAGGCAGACACCTCCAATAAGGAATGAAAAAGCAGGTAACAGCAACACAACCACCAAAATATCTAAGGTCCTCAGAACCGGCAAACCATCTAGTAATACTATATCCAAGAGTGTATGGGATAGTGAAAACATGAACAAAAGGATCATGAGCAGGACTTTTCCACATTCATTATGAGCTGCAGAGAAATCTGAAGACAGTTGGGAATCAAGTTGGCAATTCTTAAAAGGATTTTGGGATACTGCAGAATCAGTTTCTTCGATGTGTGTTCTGAGCAAGAAGGGTGAAACAGAAAAATGCGTTAGGTACAGATGGATGGAATTTCTGGAAATGTCCAAAACACTCCAGAAAACATTCTAAAATATTGGTAAGTAAAGTTTATTAAAAAAAAAAAATAATTATACAAAACTCAGGCACCCTTTAGGTATTACAAGTGCCTACTCTGCTAAGAAAAGTGGGGGTGGGGTTCCAAAAATCTGTATTCCTTTTTTTTAACTAAGCAAAGCTACGAAGAGAACACAGATGGAGTTCTTGCTAATAGCATTGATTTATATTATTTACACTTCCCACAATATGTATTTCAAATTATGCTTTTGCTGCAAGAAGAGAAAAAGGGAATACTGGTAAGAGTCAAGTACACTTCTATCATAATCAGGCTATCTGATGATGTAAAGTAGATTAGAAGAGCTCCAGGTCTGTTCACTGTATATACTGGTTACCGACCAAGAAGTATTAAATACAGGTAACTGGACAACATAATGTTACCACTCTGCTTCTGGGTATATAATAAATCTACAAATTAATAATTATAATCATGGTAATAAATCCCAGAGTACAGCAAGGAAAAAGTATGTAAGCCTAAGGTCTTGTCCTTTGCTGAAAAACTAATCTGCACTAGGGTCAGTAACAGAATGAGAGTGAGAACTAGGCAAACAGCAGCAGTCTAATTGGGGAATAGGGTAAAGTGCAGCGATCTGAGGGTTTCTGTTACCAGCAAGGATTAAACTGAGGGGAGCCCACTGCTCAGAGAAGTTGAGGCGACTCCGTGTATCACCTGTGCTCAGCCTACTATTCCTCTGTGGGGAGCTTGTAGGATACACTTAAGATACATAAACTACCTGAGTGTGTATGCAAAATTAGAAGATACACAGCTAGCATCTTTTATTTCTGTTAAATATTCCCATTAGTAACTGTGAAGGAGAATAAAAAACTAATCATAAGATGGTTCTATATTTTTGCATGATAGATTTATCTACGGGATTGGTAGGATGTGTATGTGTTTTGGGAAGACATGCTTGAAGGTTTACAAGAATATTTTAAATTATTTTACCAAGCAACTTATGCATCTTTATACTAGGTGCTATTGAAGGTTAATATATAAGATTCTAAAAAGAGATGAAACTGCAAGACTGGTAATTAGTTGATCTATGAAAAAGATTCCGTCATGTGCTTTACTTGCAGTTTTCAATAGAAGAAATACTTTTCAAAATCCAAGAAGCATGAAGATACCAAAATTTCTCCGCTATTTAAAAGTTTTTCCTTACTATTCCCTGAAAGATAGGTAAGGTTTGCCTTTGAGGCATCTTATATTCCTGTCAGACTTCTTTTATGTTTGAGTCTAGTACAGAAGGAAGGTGTCAAAAGAAATGAAACTCTACTGGGTGTCTAGGGAATGTAAATATTTCTCCTTCTCTGCCCCAAGGACTTGTTTGCCCATATTTTGACAGTCCATGAGATCTCTGACACTGAGACCTGTCAAATATTAACAATTTTGCACTGTGTCAAACTGACTCATCATTTACACTTTTATCTTCTTTTATTTCAACTTTGATGTTGATTTAGAGATATAGGTAAGAAGTGAAAGCTTCGTAACTTCTTCATTTTGTTAGAATCCTACACTATTTTGATAAACCTTATTTCTAAACCAACATTTTATGCATATATGGTGAAAAACATATGCATGTGTTTATAATATATAATTTTTGTTTTTCTAACCCATATGCATGCTCATAAATAGGCAACATGTAACCTACATCTTGATTTGACATATCCCAGTAAGGCCGTTCTCCATAGGACATTACTTCCCACATAACTATTCCATAACTCCACACATCACTTGCTGATGTAAATTTGCGGTACTGGATGGCCTCTGGAGCTGTCCATCTCACTGGAATTTTTCCACCCTATAAAAAAAAAAAAAAAAAAAAAAAAAAGAAAAGAAAAGAAAAGAAGAAAATTTTCTTTTTTACAGAACTGCAGAATCATAGAATGGTTGGGGTTTGAAGGGACCTCTGGAGATCATCTAGCCCAACCCTGTTGCTGAAGCAGGTTCACCTACGGCAGGCTGCACAGGATCACATCCAGGTGCATTCTGAATATCTACATAGAAGGAGACTCCACAGCCTCTTTGGGCAGCTTGTTCCAGTGCTCTGTCAACCTCAAAGTAAGTAAGTTTTTCCTCATATTCAAATGAAACTTCCTGTGTTTTGGCTTATGCTCCATTGTTCCTCATCCTGTCACTGGGCACCACTGAAAAGAATCTGGTCCCATCCTCTTAACACCTGTCCTTAAGATATTTGTATGCAGTGGTAAGATCCTGTCTCAGTCATCTCTTTTGCAGGCTAAACAGGCCCAGCACTATCAGTGTTTCCTCATAAGAGAGATCCTCCAGTCCCCTAATCATTCTAGTAGCTTTCCACTGCACTGTCTCCAGTAGTTCCTTGTCTTTCTTGAACTGGGGAGCCCAGAACTGGACACAGTACTCCAGATGTGGCCTCACCAGGGCAGAGCAGAAGGGGAAGATAACCTCCCTCAACCTGCTGGCAACATCTTCCTAATGCACCCTAGGATACCACTGGCCTTTTTGGCCACAAGGGTACATCGCTGGCTCATGGTTAACATGCTGTCCACCAGGACTCCCAGGTCCTTCTCCTCAGAAGCTTTGCAAGCATGTCAACCCCTAGCCTGTACTGGTCCATGGGTTATACCTCCCTAGATGCAGGACCCTGCACATTAACTTGTTGAACTCCATTAGGCTCCTCCACAAAATTTCCCTATCATCTTCCATAGAGTGCATTTGTAATTACCTCCATCAACATCAAAAGCAGCACTTATAATATCATATACTGTAGTAGACCATTTGCAGAATTTTCAAAGGAGTCTAAGGAAGTTTAGGCTCTGAAAACACCTGGACCACAGAAACTTAGATACCTGTCTAAGCTATGTTGGATGCAATTTTCTGGAAGTGCTTATTTCTCCAATGATTTTAAAAGGCTGATTAAATGTCTGATTTACACTACTCGTTTAACTCTTGGCTGGCTGAAGTTAGGTGAGGGGAATGTCATCCTGTGCATATAAATCCCACTGACTTGTCATATGGCTCCTTTGAAATCTCAGTCTGACATTTTTAAAGCAGGATCCCACTTAGAGTCAAGCAGCAAGAGTGACAGCCGTGAATGCCGCTGCAGTTTTTTGGTTCCCTGTGCCTGCTGGAGCAGATTCCAGGGGCCCCTCCTTCCCCCAGCATGAGAAAACAGGTACAGCAAGGCCCCACGGGTAGGAAAGTCAAGCTGGCTTAACAAAAGAATAAAGAGCATTGTGTGCCCAATGAATGCTTACTTAAGAAAAGCGTCCCACCCAAAAGCAAGGGAAGATTCAGAATCTGATCTTTGTCACAGTCTAGCCTCAAGTTAGTCAACACTTTGGTGAGATAAAATCTAGTCTTAAAAATACTAATAGCCTACAAATATTTTAATTGACTCATAGTAAATGAGATTATTAAATTTTTCTGGGTAAAACTTCTGTATTTGTTTGAACAGAAAATTATGAAGAAGGAAATAATGAGGATAATGCACAAAATTTTTAGAATTTTACCAAATGAAAATGTATGTTCTTATAAAAATATCAATCCCTAATTAGAGTCAGATTTCTGCAAAGACACTTTTCCTTTTGATTGGTTAACATTTCTCAACCAATTAATATATTTCTCTCTTCTATACTGTCTAGAAGTTATGCTTCTTCTTAATAAGCACATCACAAGACTATCAAAACCCATCAATTTCTCTTACGGTAGTAGTGTAGACGGCCTCTGGATCATCTTCTATAACTCTGGAAAGGCCAAAGTCTGACACTTTACAAACAAGGTTGCTGTTGACAAGAATATTGCGTGCTGCAAGATCCCTGTGTACATATCCCATATCGGCCAAATATCTCATTCCAGCAGCAATTCCTCTCAACATTCCCACTAGCTGAATGACTGTAAATTGCCCATCATGTTTCTGGAGGGAAGAAAGGAGCAGCAATTCTTGTTAGTGTAGCTGAGAAGAGAAATAAGAATCAGTTTTACAACTTCAGCTTTCTACTTATTTACTACTTCTATGGCATTTCATCCCGGGGCAAAGAAACTCACTTCAAACACAAGTTTTATTTTCTTCGGAGACAAAGCAGTACATTCAGTTAAGAAATGTGTGAGTAGTTAATGTACTAGAAGTAACAAAGCTTGCTAATCACTATAAATTTCTGGCCAAGTCCTGGCAAGTCTTTTTGCACAGAGATTACCTGATGCTCAGCTCTTTAGTTTCCCTCTATGCTCTTCATCTCTCAGCATAATTATTTGTATCAAGAAAATAAGAACTATCTCCTTGTGGAACCTTAGCTACGGATAATTTTATTCATAGTTTGGAGTTCATCAAACAAACATAAGCTTTCTGTTCTCTATAGAGTATTTATACATTATTTTGCACTGTCTTGTACACAAGGTAAGGAGTTAGAACTAGCCAGTTCAGAACACACATTAAAAAATGTTAAATTTTTGTGAACTTGCATTTCTTTTTCCGTTGTTTTTCTCTTAAACACAATCAGTTTATTTAAGAATTCTTGTATGATGATTTCCACCATGCTGACACAATAAAATTCTGCTCCCAAAAGGCAGAACATTGGGCTTCAGGTATCAGTGGTTTTAATTTCAGCTAGTGGCAATAATAAAATCACCACGTCTCTGCCAAATTAAATCACCTAAATTCCTAGAATGTTCTCATGTGATCCTCTTTGTTCCTCTCATTTCTGATCTGGTTTTGTTGAAATAACGTAAAGAAGTGCTAGTATTTGTCAAGCTCCATTTCAGCCTGAAAACAGTTTTAATTATATGAATATCATGCATGTATACATATATATATGCACATATATAAAATTGTATTTTTAAAAGTGATTATGTATAATAATATATATATCACTTAAAATGTTTATATGCTTTGAGTTTTGTACTCACCCTAAGAAATGCATCTAAGGCGCCGTTCTCCATGTATTCTATTACAATCATGACTGGCTTCCCTGAAAGAAAAGAAGACAGATTTTGTTTGAGAAACTGTAACACAAATGGAGTGCCTTTTTTTGATAAAACAGATGTTATTCTTCTGAAGGACTGAATCACTGAGACAGTGAACATTTCTGAGGCCTCCAGCACTGTTACTGAGCTCTAATAAGTTCTTATATGTCTGCATGGAATGTGGTCACGATTCACAAAATTAAACCATACAAATCAAAATGTCAGTGTGCTCTCCTAACTCCTGTTGTATGAACAGGACTCTAGAATAACGACACTTCAGATAATATGAAAGGACATAAGAAACCTTGTCTCTCTGTATGGTCTTTGAGGCTAAATGAAACTAGCAAAATAGAGTTCAAAGTACTTAATCTTTTAATCATGTGTGCATCTTAATTTTTTTCCACAGGTTGTAGCATAAAGTAAGCATTATTTCAGTTAGTTACACATCAGGAGAAAATCCACTAAGAGTGTGCAGCCTGTTTATAATTTGAATCCTTGACCACGAATAAGCTAGAGTAATTCCTGCCATTATTCTGTTATTTGACTGACAGATTGATATGCTGCTTACCTCTGGTAACAACCCCTTCTAAGTGAACAACGTTGGGGTGGTCAAACTGGCCCATGATGCTTGCTTCACACAGGAAATCTCTCCTTTGCTTTTCAGTGTAGCCAACTTTCAAAGTTTTTATGGCTACTGCAACATCTCTCTTGCCAGGAAGTTTTAGACGCCCACTGCACACTTCACCAAACTCTCCTAAAATGGATTAGATCAAACCTGAATTACTCTGACTATAATATGAATTTTCTTTTTAGGCCTTGATTCAACTAGCCACCTAAGTATGTGTTTAAACTTTAAATGTGATGTTCATATTTGAAATGGATTACTTAGGAAGAGAAAGACAGGCACGTGCTTTAAATGAATTGCTGACTAGGTACCTTACAGAGTAAACACTTCATGTTAAACCAACCTAGAGGACTGTTATTTGCATCTCTTAAAAAACCGGTTAGTAATTTCTTACCTTTTTTTTTTTTTTTTTTTTTCAAAAATAGCAAATAGAAGTGAAATAGCTTTCATAAGGAAGTACTATTATAGAAAAAGTAATATAATTTCTAAGTGAAAACGTCATTCTGTTCTACATGGTTTTCTTACTATCTTTAGATCTGATTTTATTTTTTTCCTTTTAAAAGGAAGGCCTTTTAGAGCTGCTTTTAATTTAACATCATTATGGTGTTAAATGAAGCACTACATTATTACCTTCAAGCAGGATAATTTACTTTGCAGATTATGAAATGAAAGGTGTGACTTGTTACATTAAACAAACACAAGCAAATGTTGAAAGTTCGTAAAAGGTTCTAAACTAATAGACTAATTGGAACTTGAAGAATCATATGAAAAAAATGGCCAAACAGCCAGCAAGAATACCAAAACAACCTGCTCCTACGGTCATAACTTGTGAGAGAAGTAATCAGACAGGAAAGAGGATGGAAGCATGTGAGATGTGGACCTGAATGGCAATATATCTACCTCACTATTATTGAGATTGTGAAAGGTGTAAGGATTGTCCCTTGCCTTACAGCCGTGTCAGAAAAGAGAGAAAGAGAGACCCCCCCTATTCTGTATCCAGAAATAAAATCTCTTGGGACATATAGGAGAAAAGTGTATCAACATATCTTCCACTGATAATAAAGGGGAACATCTCTTTAAAAAGACAGATTAATCAGAAAAATATTTAATAACCTGGCACTTTCCAAATTTATCTGGAGTATGGGAGATACAGATCCAAGTCCCTCCTCCAAAGCAAATAAAGTTTGAAATTTATCTCCTGCCTACTTGTGGAGTGCTATTGAGTATACACAAGTATGCAGACACACCTACATTCAAGACATGTTTTAGGGTAAGTGCTGAAAGAAAAATGATTGAATTAGGAAAGACTAACACAGAGAGCTGATTAGAGAATCCCTTTGGGACATAGACTGACGTCCTGAGAAACCTGGTGGGATCAGGACTTCAGTGCACATACAACTTGGCAAGGCATCTGGCTGGCAATAAAGGCATGCTTGGAAATGGGGCTGAATGCTTGGAGAGATGAATGTTCAAGTGTCCTAACGTATGAGTTCTGAGAAATCTTGTTTACGACACCATCACCGGTTCTGACATTGTTCTCCTGTCACCCCCAACGGCAGAGCTTAGAGAAGGAAAAGACACAGTACCTGGGCCTCAGCCTCACAGTTCTTCAGCCAGAAGGGTATAACTTTTATCAGACCTTAACATTTCCACCCAACTTGTTTGGCTGAATCTCCACTCGGCAAAGAGATTGACTGCATACAGAATGAAATTCCTCTCCCTCATGTTCTATGCTAGCTGAATTCTGGTTAGGCTCCAATCAACTCCATATACCTCTGTTAACACCATACTGTACATGAGCTAATTGGCCAGGCAGAATGAATATAACTGTTCTTGCCTGCACAGGTGAGGCCTTGCCCTCAACCATCCTCTGGCACTAGAGTTGTGGTCTGAATATTGATCATAGCTATGAATCACATGAGGCATAGCTGCTCCACACATAACACCTAGCTGCTCATGCCTTTAGCTTGGTGCCTTAACTTCCCTCCTGCACTTCACTAGCAATACGGATGACTATTAATGAATTCGCCACTCACTGTACTCACAGCTCCTTGCCACAAGAACCTACTAAAGGATAAAAGTTTTCTCTAGAAGTACCTTCCAAAATTGTTTTTGTCCCACACACAATGAAAAGAAAACATAAGTGTGTGTGTATGTGATACTTCAAAGATGGGTAATTAGGATACTTGGCATAGAGACACTAAGGCTTAACTCCTTTCCAGCTCCCTGTGATCTGATTTTGACTGAATTCCAAAAGCAGATCACTCACACTTAGGCAAACCAGAAATTTGAATTTGTATCGTATGCATTTCAGGCCAGGATGCTAGCCAATGAACTACTTCTATTGCTAAGAAAATAGCATATTCAGCTGAAATTATGCTCAAAAATGATCCAGAAAATGTGACAAGACTGAGAATACTGCACAGTAACACAGCCACTACCTCTGCATATCAACAAGGAAGAAGCTAAAACAAAGGATGTGTGGTATGAACAAGGACTTAAAATAGTGGACACCATATTCTGTACCTGACAGTTGGCCGCAGCAGGATAGTAATTAAAATATTGGCAAGGAAAGCACATATCCCTCATGCAAATTGAGCATAAGCATACTTGCACCCTGTTTGTCTGAGAGAGACATGGCACTGCTCAATAGTTGATGTGACCAGAATTGCTGATGCATATTGAGACTGCTAAGTGGCTTTTCTGGTGCAGTCATTGGCAGAAATTCCATATTCTTCTCTGATGTACAAGTTTCAGCTGCTTCTTTGTGCCTAATATTCTGTTGTTCCTGGAGTGCATTTCATTTCACTCCTGTTTGTTATCCACATCAACAGGTTAAAGCCACAGCTAAACCCCACACATTATACAGTTTCACCACAGCACTTCTAATTAACTTTCTTCAGAATTATTACTGACATGTTGGGGTTTGTTTTTTTGGGTTTTTGGGTTTTTTTTGCTATCAGTTATACTCATTAAAATCAAGAATAAATTCATTTGCAGTCAACAAAATTAACATTCTGGAATTAGTCTGTCATAACAGTGAGAACACGTTTTAATCTGTATACTCTGCAACTGAAGCGTTTTCAGCGTTTTGCTCAGAAAGCACTGACAAAGTCCAACTGAATATATCTTTGTGCTCTGAACTGTTGCTATGCAGATAGGTTTTAAACGTAAATAAAAATATACAGCTCAGTAATTTTTCTATGCTAATCTTAAATTTAAAACTTGCATTTTGTGAATTTATCAGAAAAGATGCTGCCATTCTAGCATCACAAAAATTACTAGTTTGCAAGGGCTGGATTCTTATGCTTTTACTCATCTGAAGAAATAATTTGCTCAGCAGTGTTGTTAATTTCAGCAGTACTACTTGATTAAGACATGATTCAACATGAGTGAGGTTACTGTAGAGGCATCGTGAATTCTAAATGTGAAGATTTTTTAAAGGTAAGCCAGCTTATTTTAGAGATATTTCTTCTCTTTTTAAATAATACCACAATATGTAATTTACAGTGCATGCCAATCTACAGGGTGATTTTTAAACTATTCTACTAATACTTTTATAAAACAACAGGAAAGGAAAAGAACATTTCCTCCAGGAATCTAAACTATGTGGTATTTTTCTTACCCATAGAAACTTAATTTCACTACATGGAGTAGTGCAATAAAAATGTCACATCTCTTATTAATGCAAACAAATGAAACTGCCTTTTTAGAGCACGAACACCATGGCTTAAGTAGGTGGTAGACAGTTCAAGAGGAAGAAAAGCAATGTAATGCTGGTGCAATTACAATCAGTCATGAGAAGTTAAACAATAACTTTTTGTATTCATAAAATATCAAAAAGAAAAATGGTAGAACAAAAAACAACCTTAGGGAAGGTTTTGTTATACAGAAACAAGACCTTCCTGGTCTCTCTTTAAGATTTTATGCTGCAACCAGTTTTCCTTACTCACATGAACCAAAATTCAGAGGTCAAAAAGCCCTCTTGCAAAAGGAAAGAGAGCAGAATTTGCAGTCATGCCTAGTGCCTTTACTCTGAAAACAAATAATAGGCAGCAAAACTGCCCACCCTCCTTCAATTAAATTCTTAATAGCAGATACAGAATTAGAAACCCACAAACTTTCAGTGTCAAGCAAGACTCTTAATTTATTTATTTAATTTTTTGTTGTTGTTTACACACACACACATACACCCCTGCATTGAAGTGAGTGCTGCTTCATTGCTCTTAACCACTCTGGCAAATGCAAAAAGTTCTATAGTTGAGGTATAATTATTTGCCTGTCATTATGATGTATGAGTTTCGATCCCAGCTAAATGGAACAGTTGAATCAGAAAGCCACAGCAGCCTTACCTGCACCAATCACACGCTCAATTTTAATACAAGAGGCATCTAGTTCCTTGGCGAATTGATGGACAGCTCTATTTGGGTCCTCGTAGGTTTCAGGGTCAATGTAGGTTTTGGTGCCTGGAAATTTAACTGTAATGATGTAAGAAAGCATGACTGTGATGAAGCAAAGGCACTTATTGTGCAGTCAGCCCAGGAATTTCATTATGCAGAGTGCTCCTTGGAAGACTGAACCCGTTTCCACACTGCCTGAGTTCGAGACACTCTGAGAAGCAACCTTAGTTTTAGGCATCATCTGCAAGCACGCCAACACAAATACAGCATCCCATCTTTGAAAATTACTAACATTAGCATCTGCATCTCCACCTTGAAGTGAAAGAAGTAATAAATGTTAAATAGTGCTCTAGCGCTCAATGGAATAAAAGGCAATGGTTGAATGGGAGTAAAAATAAAGCAGGCGAAGGGATATAAGACCAGCAGAGGAGATAAAACTTTCTTTTCTGTGTAAGGACAGCTTATCCTCTTTTCCCAGGTTGCACAAACAGCATTTCTTTATGTTATCTTTCTTCTATCAGGATTTGAATGGCTCCTCCACCTACTTCAATTTGTTTAAATTACCGAATATAATATTATTTACAGCCTGTGGCAATAGCTAAGTTAAACTACTCACAGCACTTAGAATTTCTATCTTTAGGCATGTTTCTTGCATTAGAATATGAAGATGAGAAACACTTGTAGTTGACTCGTAATGGCATAGGAAGGGAAAGTGGGGTCTGCGGCACAATTATTCCCTCTCTCAAGCACCTAAGTGAATAATTTGTACCAACTTGGTTTTTGCTCCCTCTTTCTCCAATGTAGGATTTGGTGCAACTCAGGCAGAATAGCACTCTGGCCAGCACATAGTTTTTCCCTTAGTTTGCTGCTAATTCAGGAAAATTATTTTTTGCTCTTCTGGTGGAGGTAGAAACTTCTGTTGAAAGTAGAGCAACCCTGGAAATCTATTAATGAAGCAATTTTTATGAAATACATTCAGCTCAAGAGAATTAGACTTGAGCTTTAATTAAATCAGTGAATTAATATGAAAATGCAAGAATGTTACTCTTCTAATTGATGTACAGATATACAAAAATAGGATCAAAAGTCAAAATAAATAATTTATGGATGCTTTTTAATCTTGTAATTGAACACAAAATACTTTAGATTTGAAAATATATTAAAAAATAGCTTAGTTATCATGTGTTTTTATGTTTCAAATAGTATTACTGACCAAAAACAAATCCCAAACCTCATAAAAAAGAAAAAGCTAGAGAAATAGTATGAGTAATCTAATGAATTTACAATCAGAGAGAGTATTTCAAATGTTGTCCAGATGTTATTATCTGCCATATTATGTATTTAAACAGTTCTTCCAATTGTATTGATAATGCTACAAATTTTTAAAATTATAAATATTTATTTATTAAAACCGAAAAAGACTAGAGAAAATTAGAAGAAAGCAACAGGATAACCCCCTCTAATTGCGCTATCAGGCACAAGATGGAGGAGAAGTCATCCTCTTGTGTTTGTGATAAAGGGCCTGGATTGGAGGTAACCTTGTGAATCTCTAGTGGGCCTCTGATGGTTCTTTATTCAAGCTGTCATAAAACATTTTGACAGGCCAAGGCTATCCTGGCATACCAACATGAAATAATGCTGGCCTGGATTTGAAGACATTGTTAGAAGAAAATGGTAGGAGGAAACCAAATATAAATCTAAATTGCTTGACTAAAATCCTCCATTGTACTTGTATCTTCAAGTGCAGCCCCTGAGGTCACACAGACTTGAGGGGGACTAAAATGAAATATATGATACTCTATTAAATAAAGTGCTTTAAAACATGCTTTAAAAAATGGGTTACTTTTAAGTTTTTGTGCTAAGTAAGTGTTTGTTGTAAGTTATGCTTTTTGAAAATCCAGTCTGGTACCTCAGCACAGAAAAAACATTGTCACGATTCTATGGAGCAAAAGGACACTGAACTGGTGTTCACAGCTCTGCAACCAAGCTGGTTACCATCTTGTTTTGTACATGCTTATCAAATAAAATTAAATACTACACCTTCAATTAACAGATGATGAAAAACTAGCTTGGCAAAAAGTGACTTACATATGGTGCTGTAATTATAAAAAGACTGGGGAAGACTAACTCTTCTAACTGATTTGCTGCATAACTGGATTTCTTAAAAGTAAAATGAGGGAAGTGAACACTTATAAAGTCTCATCATTTCTGGATCAACTATTAATCATTAAGTAGCAGCTTTCATATTAATTCACTTAGACTTTCACTGTAACAAAAAATGTCACCAATAATGGAGACAAGGAAAGGAATTATTTAGCTAGCACATTCCTTTTGTTAATACACTGACATACAAGAATACATAGTTGATCTCTCCTTCAAGGACATAAAGGGGGATTTTAAAAGTGAAAGTATCAGCTCTTCTGAAGATGTGAAAAGCTTACCATGCATCTATAAGAGGCAAATTTCAAATCCATCACTCTCAGAATAGTAACATTTAAGTAACATCAGATTTTTGATGAATTCTTTAAAATCAGCTGCACTGCAAGGTGCATGATAAATAATTCTTATCCCAATATTGTTATCCACCTTTCTTGCACAGATTATGAATCGATTGACTAAAGCTGCAGTGACGTCACTACTCAGTTTAATACTTGCTGCATTTAAACGATCTAGGTAGCAACACACCCAAACTTAGGGACCACAAATAAATTCCATCTGATCTGTTTTTCTTCAGGGCAGAAAGGTAAAACAGAAACTTGATCTGATTTTGAGTGCAGCTTTCGCTAGAACTACTCATTTAAAGAAGCATACATTGAGAAGATGCTATGAATTTGTAACCAGTGGATACTTCATTCATTATCATAATAGCTCATTATTTTAACATACGATAAACCATTCTGGTATATGTAAGCTACAGTCACAATCATTGGTAGACAACAAAGGCTACATATAGGGTAGTTTGATTAAATGGCAACTTCTACTGATATGAGACTTAACGGGTATTGTAGAAGACAAAACTCAGGCATTTTTCTATTTCAGAACTCATATTAATTTTAATTCTAATATGTGATTTTGCAATTTTGGATGCTCAAAATAATTTTGCAACCTAGTTTTACCATGCTTCCTGAGTTAATGACTGATTCTAAAAGAAATGAAAAGATTTTTAATTCTTCATGTCAAAATGATATTTCAACTGGAATGAGAAAGGGCTAAAATAAAACATTTTTAAAAAAGTATTTTGATAAAAGTGAAATTATTCTTGCATATGCCTTCCTTTCCCCTTATATTTTCAATTATCATTACCTGAGAAAGATGTATTTTATTGAATTTTTCCCAGGGTTCTAGCATAAATTCAACAGTAGCTGTGATCTTAACAAGCGAAGCTTTAGGTACTACTCTTAGCTAGATAGTGATTCTAGAATAGACAACAGTAAAGAATTAGCTGGCCTTTCTTCTCATATTAAGTGTTCTATTTTAAGGACATTATGTTTTGTAAATACTGTTGCTACAGTATTCACAGTAGCAGAAAACAGCTTTTGAGCAGAACAGCTTCATTGTTAGGGTGATGCAGTGACCCAGACTTTCTTAATCTGAAGTTTGCCTGAGGAAAAGATCATATAGTCACTTAGCCAAATGTCTCTCAAACACTGCACCTCAGAGGGATCATTAGGACAGCGTGAAATGTATTCAAAGCAACCAAAAGGGGGGGGGGGGGGTGGGGGGAGGGGGGGGGGAGGAGAATGAAAACAGCAGTGTATCATACACATGCATAGAATTAAAACCGTCTGTGCGAGTAATGTTGACTTTATGCCACATTCTTTTTGTGTAGGTCACATTTGTACAGTGTTCAAACTTCCAACTTGCTATTTACACAGCATTTTTGAATTCTTATAGCTTTGTCATTTATGTTGTTTTAGTATTGTCTATGCTGTTGCAGTTGGGAATTTTTGAAAGGAGGAAAAAAGGCAAAACACTTACAATGAAAGTAAAGTTCTTCATCCCCTTCTTGATCAGCTTTGCTATAGCCACAATGCCTGAAAAGAAAGATGCCAGTTTTACTGGTAAATAAAGATTTACTTCCTCGCATCTAAAGTCCTGACAACATCAGTTCTTCAGGCTGGGATTTTCAGGCACTGAGCACCTAACTGCTGTAGGTCCTTTTTAAGTTTCAGCTATAATTCTCTTGACAGCAGAGTTTTAAATAAATCATGAACAGTTGCAATCAAAAGGTTTTTGTATCAAATACCAGTTGGGACAGGTCCTAAAGAGAAAATTCCAGTTCTGGTGAAAAGCTTCTATGGATAAAAGAGAAGATTAAAGAACTTGAAAGCAGAATAGTGTTTTACATGAGGGTATTCTTAAATTTACTGCTATGCCTCTTTTTCTTGAATGCAAAGTCATTTAAAGGCTGATCAGATGAAGTGTCAGACTTCTCCACATGAGAAAACTGAACAGAAAGAGGAACTTCGAGGACTACAGGTAAAGAACCTGCTAGGGCATCCTTTTCAGCACATTTACATAGGACAAAAAGAACATCTTGATTTAAGTGTGTCTTGCCAAAGTAAGAGGACAAATTGTATAATTGCTAATGCGATTTAAATTAAAATTGTCCTTACTAAAAATTACTTCCATTTCAGTTTTGCAAAGTACTATCTCAGGTTAGACTATGTTTCAAGAGTTCTCAGGTCAGGCAAAACCGATGCAATACCTTCGCCCGATGATGAATCCAAACACCATGAAGACCAGAATGATGGTTCCTGCAACAGCAACCACAGCTATGATAATAACAGGATTCTGTTCACTGGAAACAGCTGTGGCTACGAAGGGAGCACAGAGCAGAGATTAGTTTAAAATTATTCCCTACAAAGGAACTGCAAAAAAATTAAGTAAGTCAACTGTTATGAATTGCAGACGGTTGGTTTACCTTTACCTGAAACTATTACATCAGTAGAGTTAGTCTAAAGAAGGGCTTCCACTGGAAATTCATCCAAATGCTGGATGAGTTAATGATCATCTACAGGGAATAAGAAGGAGCTATGCTAGAACTGACTTGGCCAAAGTGATACAGTCATTATCAACCACTTCCACTCCCTCCTACTGCTGTACTGCCTTCTGTTTTGCTGAGCAGCTGACTCCCTCCTAAAAGGGAAGACCTCCATATCCCTATAAGGGGGGACAGCAGGAGACTAATCCCTGAAGAACTCTGCTTCTAGCCTCCCCTCTATAACTGATCGATGTGGTTTTGATGGTACAAAAGGAAATAGTGTCTTAACTATAAGAAGAATGTTTGAGATGAAACGCTATCTATTAACACAGATATCCTAGTTAGCGTATTTTTATCTCTTACTGCTATCATTGTAAGTTGCAGTTATTACTTATCATTTAGCAACAAAAAGGTGCCTATACACATACAAAATGGAATTCTCCATGCTTCTGAGAATTTACATGCTAAAATATCCACACATTACCACTCTTTTTATTCAGATATGCCGACGCTATTAATAGATGCAAATGCATGCATGTCACATTAATGCAAACTGAGGATGTAAATACTTAGCCTGAGAAACCTCAAGGTTTGTTAAATACACTGCTTGCCTGACATCTAATGAGGGTGGTCATGTACTCAGTCACATTAAATGAGCACAGCTCCATTGAACAACGTGGAGCTACGCTGGTTTGCAGCAGCAAGGATCTAGGCCAAGAGATTGAGAGTAAAGGAGGAGACATCAGGCAGTGATGAAGACCAAGAGACTGTGAAAGTTTGAGTCATTTGGGAGCAACAGAGAGATAAAAGAAAAAAAAAAAAGAAACCCAACTGACAGCTGATTAACTGAATTGTAGATGGCATGTTAACAATGGTTAACTGCTAGTAGTGGTAACTGAACTGGAATGTCTACATGAGGATTTTATGAATTCCACAGAATCAGGTTCCTGTTGCAGACTTCAGAGGTTCCCATAGAAACAAATAAACCAGTCTTTTCTTTGCTCTGTCTTGGGAGAAGTGAGCCAGTCAACATGATTTACTTTGTTACTGACACTGACCTGTACCAACTGCTTCCCACCAAAAATAACAAACCCTTTGTTATACTACACAGATACAGAATCATCTGCACTGGGGGGAAGTTACCTCCCCAACCTTCCCTTCAATTTTATCTCCTAAAGAAACTGTAAGTTTTCTATGTTCTATCCTAATGAAGGTGAAGAAGATCTCATTATTCATATTGGTCTTAAACTGAAAAGAACAAATGCTTATCTTTGATTAACTATAACTTTCTGAGATACCTAGGTCAGTAGGATGCCACTGCAGGCCTGCATATATCCAGTTGTGGAACTTAAAGGAAATCAGTCATCACTATCTATCTATCTATCTCATGCAAAAGTGTAGGGACATAGGTAATACAACTCAGTTCCTGTAACATCAGCAGGCCATCAAAGTAGACAATCCCAAACAATGCCAAATTTATGTGAAATACAGCATTTCCTAAAACTGTTCACTTCTAAGTGCAAACCTCACTTAGAAGGCAAGAAGAGGCAGCATCCTGTCATAATGGCCAGGGTGCAAAGATACATTCATCTAACAGAGTTTGAAAAAATACCCAGCCCAGCCTGTCACTTAATCTAGCAGCCAAGTTGAGTGCATAGAGGTTGACATATGTGAGTGGGTTGCTCTGCATAACTGCCTCACAGATTCTGGATACTGGCACATTCAGCAAGCAAGCCAAGGATGTTAACTGGGGTCTGAAAACCGTTGAGGACATGGTACACTGGCCAACGAGTAAGGTAAGATACAACGTATGATGTATTTTTACATTTTTAAAACAAAACAAAACAAAAAAGAGATCTGATTATGAGCATAGTCTGGTATGAATTCAGTGACAGGAGTCTGACATCTGCCTTTGTTCACGTACTCTGAGCTGTTTCTCTCTTCTGTGTTATGAAGTCAGTCTGTCAGTGTAAGGGTGAATCAGAACTCAGCTTCTGGAATGATCACTATGGTTTGGCAGAAAAAAAAAGATGCTAGAGTGTTCTTAGAGGAATGATTTTGAGTTGCAGATGATCCTTCCAGGGGGTGCATGACATAGTCACCTGTAACTGGTGCTGCCACATTGGCGATAGCAAGGAATCACCAGCAGGATAGGGAAGTCTGTCCTTTCTTCTGCTTAAACTGTACTCAGACTCAGAGGGTGAGACAGGGACCTGGTACTTGGGCAGTTAGCTACAGCTAATCTGATATTATGATATTTGAATATCAAAATGAATAAGCACATTCAAATTCAATCTTAATTTAAAGGAGTTAAAACCACCTTTTAAAAATTTATGGTTGTAGGGACGGGGAATGCATATCCAAACACCCTGGAGGATTTAAAAAAGGAGATCAGCTGTAAAAGCTGTGCTGCTCCTCTAGTGACTTCTTCTCATGTAAGCAGCTTGAAATTTATGAGTTGCAGAAAAGAATTGCTGAAGAAGTCCACCATGGAAGTGTTAACAATAAATTGGGTTCGTTTAGGTCAAATATTACTTCCTTATATATTTTGCTTTATGTCTTCTATAAAAATTTGTAGTAGCATTATTTCTGACATTAGGAATAAATTTTGCATCTGCATATTACTTCAACCTTGCTTGATTAAAACTGATTCATGGCAAAAGGAAAAAGTAAAGTCTTCTTCAGGCCAGGTTGTGCTGAGTCTTACAGCTATAACAGGTGGCAAAATCCCCTTCAATTAAAAAAGCACAGGATCATCTTTAGATCCACTGGCTACAAGTCACTTAACATAACTTTTAAATACTTTAGTGAATCAAAAAATAAAATTAACACTTAAGTGATTTTCTATGCATTTGTATTTTCTTCCTGAGGGAATTCCATCTCGAATATCATCAATGATTTCAATAAAAAAAAATACAGTGATCAAAGTACTTTGACTCTGGCAAACAGCTCGAAGTACTTTAATCACTGTATACACAGTATAAAATAGAAATAGCCTTGCTTTACAAATTATTTTTACTTCATAAGTTTGAATTTTTTACATAAATAGGTATGTAATGCCCAACATCTACGGTATGTGCAAATGCAAGTATAAGCTATGTATATTTTATATGTCAGATACTATTAATATAATGGACATCTTGCAGCCCAAAAATCTGACCATATGCTGGGCTGCATCAAAAGAAGCATGGCCAACAGGTTAAGGGAGATGATTCTTACCCTTTACTCTACTCTTATGATATCCCACCATTCAGGTATGGGGCCCTCAACACAAGAGGGATGTGGACCTGTTGGAGTGAGTCAAGAGGAGGGCCATGTCCTGGGTTCAGCTACAGCAGTCATTTTTTCTCCTTCTTAGTAGCTGGTGCAGTGCTGTATTTCTTGACTTTCAGTCTGGGAACAATGCTGATAACACCGGTGTTTTTAGTTGTTGCTAAGTAATGTTTACTCTGACCAAGGACTTTCTCAGTCTCATGCTCTGCCAGGGAGGAGGGGAAGCCGGGAGGAAGCAGAGACAGGACACCTGACCTAAACTGGCCAAAGGGCTATTCCATACCACAGCACGTCATGCCCAGTATAGAAACTGGGGCGAGTTACCTGGAAGGCTCAGATCACTGCTTGGGTCGGGCTGGGTATCAGTCGGTGGGTGGTAAGCAATTGTATGCTCTCCCCTTGTTATTTCCCTTATCATTATTATTACTGGTGGTAGCAGTAGTGTTTTGTATTATACCTTAGTTACTGAACTGCTGTTTTCTCAACCCGTGGGAGTTACATTCCTCTGATTCTCCTCCCCATCCCTCTGGGAGTGGGGAGAGGAAGAAGGAGGGGAGTGAGCGAGTGGCTGCGTGGTTTTGCGGTATCAGCTGGGCTTAAAACATGACAGGCCACAAAGATGATCAGAGGGTTGGAGCACCTCTCCTATGAAGTCAGGCTGAGAGTCGAGCTTGTTCAGCCTGGAGAAGTGAGGGCTCAGGGGAGACCTTAGAGCAGTTTTCCAGTACCTAAAGGGGCCTACGAGAGTTGGAGAGACTTTTTACTAGGGTATGTAGGGATAAGACAAAGAGGAATGGTAAATTTAGGTTAGACATTAGGAAGAAATTCTTCACATTCCAGAGGCACTGGAACATGTTGTCCAGAGAAGTTGTGGATACCCCACACCTGCCAGGGTTCCAGGCCCGGCTGGACGGGGCTTTGAGCAACCTGGTCTAGTGGAAGCTGGCCCTGTCCATGGCGGGGGGAAGTTGGAACTAGATGATCTTTAAGGCCCCTTCCAACCCAAACCGTTCTATGATTCCATGACATAGGTCTTTAAAAGTGGCCATGCAGTTTCTATCACAATTTAGAAACAGAAGCATAACACAAAAATCTACTTAATCAACAGCACCAGCCAAAAGATGCCAAGCAGTTGAAATGTCAGGAGAAATTCTGGTTGGCAACATGACTAGCTGACTGTGACAGTCACTATATATAGTCTTACATAAATACATATATGTGTATGTATATACATATATATGCTCACGCTACATATATATATTCTTTAAATACGTCAACATATTTAAAAGCTGCAGTCAGAAATCCACTGGAATAATGAAAAGTCAACACCTTTAACACTGGTTTACTGCTCACCTGTACAGTACTTCACTTGAGGCGTATAACCTAAAAATGATCCAGTAAAGGCCTTCCTTTAAAATGTTAATGAAAGCACAGGACATTTTACATGGCATGTCAAAACACAAAGCTGGCTTATGACATGAGAAAAATCTGCTGTGCATACTGGCCAAGTGTGTCACCGGTTTATATGCAGTTTTTCATCACGTGAGTCAGAAAAAGGGTACATGGGCATGGTCAGTGATGCATTTATTCTAGGATCAACTGATTTTCCATATGTTGACCAAAGTCTAGTCAAGACTGCTTACTTCTGAAACTATCCTTGATAATCTTAGCGGCCACCAGTGTGCTTACATGCAGTATATAAAAAACACTCAGGTAATTAAGGAAATGTTAGGAAAAATTTTGGTCTACTAATTTTAAACCACTACGGACAACAAAATAGCTCACTAGCAGAAACAAATGACAGATTATGACAGACTTTTAATTTGTTTTCTAGAAATCTACTCAAAAGAAATTAATTCTGCCTGTACTACAGGTTCCCATTTTGCAAAATGAGGATTCTGCTACTGACTCTTTCTAAAGCAGAACTCTGCAAATGGAAAGTATGCTATCAGACAGAGAGCTAATAATACTAGTAATAACAGTTTATTGCTGCTATTACGATAATTACTATTTCAATTATGTTTATTAGATATGTGGTATTATTCATTATTGATAGTTTTCATATTCTGTGTGTAACCAAGGTGGAATCAAGACCTAACTACTGTGTTTTAAGAATACTGACAAATTGTTCAGGAGACATCTGGCTGCAATTAAGAAGATGCATTAGAATCATAGAATCACAGAATCAACTAGGTTGGGAAAGACCTTTAAGATCACCAAGTCCAACTGTTAGTGTACATCCACATCTTAGATATGCTGCATAGAGTTCAGAGAGCAGAGCTGGCATCTTTGTATACTATGCATTCTCAGCTCCAAATCTGGCTGACCCACTGTTAGGCAGGTTAACCTGAAGCAAATGGTCCAAAACAGAGTAACCAAATTTAGGTCTGTGACAGAGCTGTGAACCTGCCACGGATACAGGCAGCACCTGTGAATGGGCTCATGGCTGCCAGGTCTCAGCGATGGAAGTGTTTCAGAAGACCCAAAATGTGGAAGATTTTCACTAAGCATGTATGCACATATCTACGGCATTGAGGAAAAAAGGTATCGGCGTGATTTTTGGACAAATAAGGGCACAAAATTGAATTCAGCATCAAGGAAAGAGCAAACTCTCCCAAAATGTTATCCCTCTGCTGAGCTGTCACAGCCAGATTCTCTGTACTGACAGAGCTTGTACTTCAGCTTCATAGTTTCCATTGTGAGGGTTTTTGAAAGGTGTTTTTTTCTTTAGACAGCTTACAATGTATCACATGAGCCTTAAAGAAACCTAGTATCTTTGAGACCTGTTTCCTTACTAAACCAAGTTGAAACTAGCCAATGAAGTCAAAAGACACTAAGCATGGACATACAGCTTAGACAACACACACATAAAACAAAACTATAAAGAGTTTTTTCAGGAAGTCAAATGGGGTAAAAATGACCTGGGGCAGACTCTGTGGGCTGAAATCCTCCTCCCTCCTCTCCCCAGTTACAGAAGAATCTAGTAGAGTTATTCAGCTCACCACTACTCATTTCTCTTGAGGGGTGGAAGGGGTGTATTTGAAAGAAAAAACTATTTTTCTTTGTGTTAGAAGGCCATCAGAGGAGAAGAACCTGATATGTTACAAATCTTCTCCACCTATTTATAGGAGTGTAATTTGCAGCTGTGTGGTAGAAAACCTAATTGAACTCATCCTTCAAAACATAGTTACAAAAATCCACCTTCATGTAGAACTTCATTCTTTCCAGTTTCAATAACATTGCCTATGGGTCTTTCCATTCTTGCTCTACTTACTACTTCTACTGAAACTGTTAATTTCATATAAATCTAATTGTTTACCTGTGGCTTCTTCTAGTGTGGCAACATCCAGTCTGGGACTGTAATTTCCATAACCAGCAGCAGTAAAAGCACGAATCTGGAAAACATACACTGTTCCTGGCTTTAGGTTATTAATAGAAGCTGAAGTGGACTTGGTTTTCACTGTTGAATAGGTCCTCTCCCGTTGATCCTGGAAACAATAAGACAAAAGATTAAATTACATTTACAGGTCAGATTTTATCATGGTAGCACATCAGCAACTGACAGCCAGCCAGGGTAGTTTATTTCAATTTGTTGAATGCTTTTTTTTTTCCCCAACATAAAAAATAAAGCATACTCTGTGGAGTATTACAGAACACTGTCAATGCAACTCAAATAGGATGCTCATGTTGTTAACCATAAACCATCCAAACATAAAATGATTGCTTTGGCTCTGATAACATTTTGTGAAATTTTGATGAGAAAATAGCTTGACTGAAGCTTTCCAGGGGGATGTGTGGGGTCTAAAGAGTGCAAGGACAGAAAAACCTGTTCTTTCATGGTCAGAACACCTTCCCTTGCTACCTTCCAAATACCTTTAAAAAATACCATACTGCCAACGTATAACTGGCTGGATTTTGCACCTAATTCTGAGATCCTTAACTCAGTTTTCACTTAGTTTTTTTTCTCTGGATTTAGCTCTATGGCATCAAGAAGAACCTAGGGAAA